CTGTCCTGGCCCCGGCGGCGGCAGCGAGAGCCCCGGCCCAGTGTCAACTGCCCCAGTCCCGGCGGCGACTGTCCCGAGTCCCAGCAAATAATGTCCCTGCCCCAGCAGCGGTAGCGACAGTCCCGGGTCCCGGCGGTGACAGTCCCGGGTCCCGGCGGCGGGTCTGTCCGTGTGTCTTTGACTCTGTTCTCGCCATTTCCTGTGTGGAGGTTTAGGCTAAAGTAGCAGCTGCCGCTAATCGTGAAGCTGCTTCGAGTTGACGCAGCAGGTTGACGTGACGTGACGTGAGTGACAGGACAGTTGTCCAATCACACGACACTAAATAAACAGAGACTGTGATGTCATTGATGTCGCAGTGGCCGCTAGGGGGGGCACGGCCCTCAAATGCCCCCCCTTGCCGCCGACACCGAGGGGTTATTTTAGGAATAGAGGTTTTGGTTCATTTAGACGTTAGGGGTTAGGTGCATTTGTGGAGGAGCGGCGTGCGCGGGGCCCGGCGTGCGCGGGTTGGGGCATGCCGTGGGCGAGGTGCGGCGTAGGTGCTGGTGAGGGCTGATCACTGCCGCTTGCGACTATATTTGTTTTTCTTATCATAAGTGTATCACGATGTATTTTTATGTTTTAAGTACAGAAAGTCTTGTTCCACTTGGTAAATAATTTTATTTGTCAAGTGAATTTTACTTAGATCATGATAAATCTTTAATTGAAGTCATTTTAACTTGGCGGCTCTAGTGCTGCACTACAGAAAGTCACTGTGTTTTACTGATTTCTGCTCAGGATTTTTTATTCTAGGCCGTGTTGTGAAATAACTGAATACATGTGCTGAGAATACATATTCTGAATGCCACTTTTGAGTAACTGTATTCTGGGACAGTGCAGTGATACTACCTGCATTTTCCCTAAAAAAAACTATGATTTCTTGTGTCAAAACTTCTGGAAAACTTCAACACGGAAACAAATATTCCTGAGTTTACAACTCAACAGAAGGATCTCAAAACATTTCCCAAGGACCAAGCCTGAAGTGACACTGATGAACTTTGCTAAAATCATCAGTTCTCACTTTTTTTTTTAATGGGTCATTTTGCAGCATTACAAAACAAAAACAAAACAGATCACAACTACATGGATCATGACAGAAAGGTCCAAGCTGAAGTAAAAGTACCAAACCTGATTAAACAATGACAAAATTCCAAGAAAGAAAAGCAGCACATGAACAAGTTATATTCTTTTATTCATTTATTTTTTAAGGCTTCTACAGTGTTGGACTTTTTAAATCATCACTCAGGTTGTTCCATAAACTCACCCCTCGAACACAAATACAATCACTTTTTTTTATTAGTTCTTAACTTAAAAAAATAAAATAAATTAAGATACCAGTTTTGATTTGATGAGGCAAATTTATCACGGTTACTTCATAATTCATTTTGTTTATACTAATAATACTGTGTTTTAAAGATGTGTTTTATGAATCACCAAAGTGTCCTGTACACTCCGACTGCAGGGAGTTTGTAAAAGTGCACTTTTTAATGTTTTCCAACTGGACATGTTTATTGTTGATGTAAAACTGGAGCTTGTATTTACAGATAGATACAACTGCCAAAGAATTTAAAGGTGCACTATGTAACTTTTCTGGTAGGGAGTAGAGAGATGTCGTTGTTTTGCCTGAAATGTTCCCCAGTCTGGCATTAAGCATATTTATGTTTAACTTAAACTCCAGGCTCAGGCTGCTCCAGGCCTGTGGAATCTTCTGCTTGTCCACCTGAGGGCGCCACAGGCAGTGGAAACTTTACAGAGGCAGCTAAAAACTTTTTATTTCCAAAGGCTTTTAGCTCAATGTAACTGGGATCTGTCTCAAGCAATGAAACCAAAATATCCATAAATTCAAGTTGTTGTATAAACATTTGGTCTGGTCACAGTTTATGGAGAGTGACTCTTAATATCAGAACATACTTCCTTGTTGTTTCTGCACCATTGCTGGAACGTGATGTTCATGAGCATTACTTGTATCTTTTGTCTGACACCGTTGTTGGCGTCTTTATGTATTATTTTAATATGATTGACAGTTATGTTACTAAACTATTACAGTGACTCTTTGTCCGCACTTATAAGTTGTTCGTATAATTTAATGTAAAATGTCTGAAAAATGGGACAAAAAAGCTCATTGTGTAAGATTCAAAGAGTGGGGGGAGGGTTTAAATAAGTTTTATTATTGTTGTTATTTCACTAATGTTATATGTTCCATTGTAAAAGAATGTAAATGTCTTACTTGTCTAAAATAAATACATAAATAAAGAAGAAGAAGAAGAACTTTGAGGTGTTTTCAAATGTAAAGTGTAAAATAAAAACTACTGTAATCAAAGGAAACCGACTGTTCTCAGTGTAATTATACAACATTATTCTTATTGTAATTAGCTCATCTGTGAAAAACAAACAAACAAACAAACAAACAAACAAACAAACAGTGCTTAAAATGTTTCACGCTGTCTGCTTCTCACCTCCACTTACCTGATTCCTCCTTTTTGTCATCTTTGAGTCTGTTTCCTCACTTCTGTCTGTTTTCTGTTTCTTATCACTTGACATTGATCTGTAATAAAAACATATTCATTATAGTTCTGTAAACCACATACATACAAAAGCCGGCAATGTAGTAAACCACGGACGGAAGTAAAAACAAAAAGAAAAGGAAACAAAAAACAAGACGGAAGTATAATAAGGCAGGTTATTACACAATCACAAGTGGCGTGAGGTGGTTTTTACATCCACAGCAGCACCAGGCGTCAGATGAGTGAGATGAATGTTCTCCAATAACAAAACACAACACAGATACATATTTTTAATCTTAAAAGTATTAATTATTATTGTTTGAGATCTGCTGAAAAGGGCTGAGGGACTTATGCTCGTAGTTTTGTTTAAACTAAAGTTTTACAAATAAAAACAGCGAAGAAAAAAACGATTGATTCTATTGTTTCTTACGAAAGAGCATTGTATAAAAATAATCACAACAATAAATATTTTTCCTAACATTCTTTTTTTTTTAATCATTTATTTATTTAGATCAGCAGTTCCAGGGCTGAAATGATCCAAATGATCCTAGTGAAAGTGTTTTCCTAAATCTGTAGCGTTTGTGTGTTAAACAGAAGTGTGCAAAAATATTGACATAGTGAAATATCGATATATCGTATCATTTAATGTGACAATACAGTATCGATATCGCAAGTTGCTATATCGATATATCACCAAGAGTTTTGTTTTGTTTTGTTTGTTTTTTTACTATTTAGTTACAGCTACAGTTTTGTTGCATCCAAAACAAAAACGTGGTTAAAACATATAATAACGATAAGAAATATTTATAACAATATCACTTTTCCCTACATCCTGATACAACTCTTTAATCATTTTATTTACTTTATTTTTTTGTTTAGTTTTGGTTTCCTTCTTGCTGCTCTCCTGTGTGATCAACTCTGAACCACCTCCGTACTGTAAATGTTCTTTATATGTCTGTATGTACCTGAATATATTGAATAAAAAAAATAAATAATAAAAATTAAAGCGCCCTCTGCTGGCGAACACAGAAATGACAGTGACGCTGTAGTGTCCTGCTTTTCCGCGGAGGAAACTGTGGGTGATCGAGACACATTTTCAGGTTTTTCCTTTTTGGGCGTGTGGCTGAAGTCAGTTATGGAGTGTGAAGTGTTTTTATGAAGAAAACTTCACCAAACATGCTGCAGTTTTATTTATTTCTCCAGATACTGATGTCTGTATTTACATGTTGTTTTTCAGGTAAGTCTCACACAACTTCTTTATTCAGTCTGTGGAAAAACGGAATCGACTTAAATCTGTGCGTCATTGTCCTGTTTTCTCTGTTCAGTCTGTTTGTGTTTGTGTCTCGTTAAAGTTCACGTGACTCTAGATTACAGGTGTTGTGTTTTCATGTGACTGTGGAGTAACGTTTGTAACTTTGTTCTAGTTTAATATTTATGGAAATGAAACAGAAATGTCACTTCTTTGTCTGTGCGTGAATCATTAATAAGACTTCTGTAATGGTCCCTGCAGTCTCAGGTTTATCACATTACTGTAGTTTAACTCATTTATTTTTAAAGTATGATGTTATTTTTTAGCTAAAACTGTTTAAAAAAGACACACACACACACACACACACACACACACACACACACAGGCTGCGTGTTTCAGATTATTAAAAAAACACACTTAAAAACACTTTCGGTTTCACTTTGACGTCACACTGTGGATCTGTGATGTTCTGGTTCCATCTAGTGGTGCACACAGGTACTAACCCCAGACATGAAAACACTTTGACTCACACTCGTTTGGTTTGAACATGTTCACTTCTCTTTAAATATGATGAAAGTGAAAGGTCCAACACAAACCCACAGAAGAATAATTATGATTTTAAATAATGAAACAGATTTAGATTCAACCTGAAGGACACGAAGAGCTGCACAAATGTATTTTGTTTGTGAATCCAAAACCTGCTCCAGGACCCAGAGACACTGAAGGGTCAAATGCAGAGGACATTTGCCTCACTGGGGTTTCTGAGTGTGTCTCTGAGCTGGTTCACTGCAGAAGGACTCTGAGCGTCTCATGTCTTCTCCCTCAGACGCTGCTGTCTCCTGTGTTCTTCTGGAGACCTGTGTTCTGCCCTGCAGCTTTGAGCCTGGACCAGACCCTGTGATCCACTGGACCAAAGAACCTCATGATCAAACTCCAGTTCATATTTACTATAAAGGTCAGAACCAGCCTTCAGCACCAGCACCAGAACTTTAAAGGTCGGACCTCTCTGTTTGTGGAGGAACTGTCCACAGGAAACGCATCACTGCGGCTCTCAGGGGTCAAAGTTCAGGATGAAGGAAAATACAAGTGTTACACCAATGCCATCAACAAAACCACCACAGAGTTTTATGTGGATGTGTTTGTTTCTGGTAAATAATGAGTATTATTTTGATAATAACATATGTAAGAGTGTAAATGTGGTTTGACAGTGAAGCGTCTCTCTGTAGCTCCAGCTCCAGTGTCTCTGCAGCAGCAGGGGCAGGAGCTCCTCTGTAGATCTGAGGGAGTCTACCCCAAACCCTCAGTGTCCTGGAGCCCTCCCTCCTCTGCAGCTCTTACCACGGTGACCCCCTCAGAGGGCGGAGTGTGGTCTGTGCACAGCTCTGTGTCTCTGCCTCACAGCCCTCCACATCAATACAGCTGTAATGTGAGCAACAGCAGGGGCAGCTGGAGGAGCGCCACCTACAGGAGGAACAGTGTCATTTATTATCACAGAGGTTTGTGTTTAAGATCCTTTACAAAGAGCCCTTTTTTTGAATATATTTTTACTTGATCCTTTTGTTTTGTTGTTTTAGATTTTTCAGATTATGTGATAATCTCCTGCACTGAACCCTCTGCTCCAGTGAAGAGTCTCATTTGGAGGTTCAACCAGAATCAGATCATTCTGAGTCGGTCTGGACCAGAGTCGGTCTACACTGAGTCCTGGAGACAGTTTGTTGTTGGAGTCACAGAGTCCAACAGTCTGATCCTGAAGGATCTGACCAAAGAGCAGCTGGGCCTGTTCTCCTGTGAACTCAAGACTGAACAGGAGAACTTTATTATCCTCACTGAAGTCTGAGTAAGTGTGAGCAGTGACTCCTGGTTTCATCTGAACACAGAGAATTCAAACACTCTTTTCTTTCTGCAGGAAAACACTCAGATGTGTGGATAATTATAGTTCTTTTTAGTGTATGTAATTTTCCTGATGATCATCATTGTTCTCTTCTGTTGGATATGTCTCCAGGTGAGTAGATGTAGAGTCAGATCCAGTTTGTTTGTGTTGTTCTGTCAGGACCAGAGCAGTTGAACCCTGGCGTTCTCTTTGAAAAGCATCTGGAGCCTCGTCACAGAAAATCACCTTCAAGTTTGTGAAGGACCAATCACAGTCATTTATCTGCAACATGTGAGCTGCTGTAAACGCAGGAACAAGCCTCCTCAGATATCTCTGTTTCATGGAGTGAGACTTTAGAACACCTTATTGTCTTATTAAGGCCTTATGAACCTGGTGTTCCTGTTTCTTTGTCTCCTGATGATCTGAAGCTCTGTCTGTGGCTCAGTTCTCTGTGTCATTTTTCAGACATTTTAAAATCACTTCAGTCTCATCCAACAAAAGCATCAAAACAAACGTTACACTTTTGTACAGCGGGAGAGTGTGGATGGACTAGTTTCATTGGTCTGTCAGGAGTTGCTTTGATGGATGAGAAGAGCGTAAACAGTCCAGTCTTACATGTTCATGTTTTTGTGACCTGAGGAAGGCCACAGGAAGCAGCTGAAACATGTGAGGCAGGTGCACACACGGTTTAAAGCTGAAGACAGAATGAAGCTTTACCAAAGCTCATAACCCTGTAGCTCCGACTCAAAGAGCTTCTGAAAAACACGGGATTCTTGGATGAGTTTAAAGTTCAGATTTCAGTCTCTGATGTGAATGCTCCTGGACTCAGTCTTCACTTTTAAACAGAAACTGCATGTAGCGCCCACTCCGCCCACTGTGTGGCGCTATGTCTCTGTGGGCTCTTCTTATATGTTCCTGACACAAATCCAAACGTGATCTCACACTTTATGAAATGTGTGTCGCTCAGAGGCAGTGTCTGTGTGAAATGTGTTAAGAACAGATCCTTGTGTCTGTGGAACACAAACACTCACTCACACTTCTTCTTCTCTTTACAGATGAAAAGACGAGACGACATGAGGCTACAGAAGGTATTTGAGTTGAACAGAATCTTTCTATTTTAAGATAAACCTTTTATAGAAATGGGACATGAAGAATACATTCAGTATTCACCTTTTATCTCTGTGACTGAAGACTTTTAAAAACACTAAACCAATGATCTCAAAGTTAAATCACATAATCACAAAAAATACATTTTCATTACAGAGAAATACACAAGATGGAGGTTCAGCTCAGGAACTGTAAAACATGGCCCGGGACAGAGAACGTAAGGACATTGGCCAAGAGAGAGAGCAGAAGGAGAATAACCTGGTGAGAGAGAGGAAGAAGATGAAATGTACCTGGAGAGAGGATGAAGATAAGTGGGAGTACAGAGGTGGTACTGGTGGGTTTCAGACATCACTGTGTTCCGTAGATGAATAATATTTGGAGCATGTTTCTTTAAGTTTCATTGATCATGTGTGATTTTTGAAGCATCATCAGGACGAGCCTCATGTGTTTTTACACTTACACAAACTTTATTGAGCCACAAGAGAAAATGACTTGAGTTTTACTTGAGCTTTTGTATCTCTTTTGCAAATATATGTATATTTTTTTAAATAAATGCACTTGGGTTTACACTGGAAAATCGGCTCAGCTCTGTTCTTCTTTTGTGACTCACCGGGAAATTACAGTCTGTAACAGTATGTCACCGCTCTGTCTGGAATGTTCCACAGTATGGATTTAAACCTTTCTGTCTTCATGGAGACCAAACCAGACCAAGTTACAGGTCAGATCTGTGGAGAGGCGACATCACTCACAGTCAGAATGCCTTTTATGGGTTTTTCTAGGTATTTTTGAGCTTTAAAGCCACCTGTAATTGAATAAATGTAAAGTAGAGCTGTTTAATGTCACACTGTGGAACATTGTTAATTTGTGCAGTTCAAATGTTACAGATGTTCTCAGATTACAGGTCTCACATTTAAACTGCACAAATCTCTCTGTATCTGCAAATATCAACATCATGAAATAGATTTTTATTGTAATTGTAGAATGAGTCTGAGTGAACATGTTCCTTCTGTTTTCTTCAGGATCAGAACATGAGTTGAGTTTGTTGTGACTAATGTGGCTCATCGTTGTTTCCTTTAAGTTTTGGTCTTTCTTCTCTTGATATTTGTGGATAAATTGTTCATTTTAGAATGTTTCTCCTTTGTGGAGTTTGTTGGTTGAAGATTTGGTGATGGAGCAGATTTATGAAACTGCTGGAAAATACGACACACATTTACACACATTTACACACATTTACACACACTTACACACACATTTACACACACATTTTGTCCATGGATGTATCATACTGTATTTATTATAGTTCTATGATTGAAAACCATCAAATATTAAGTTCCACAACCCTACAGCGCGGCACTTCTGGCTGTTGTGAAAAAATGTCTATATTTACAAAGACATAATAGGCAAGTTTGTTTGTAAGTTATTCAACGTGCTTTACAGAATAAGAAAAACATTCAAATCACAATAAAAACTAATGAAAACATAAATAATCATCATACAATTAAAGATTAAAATTGAAAGAGAGAGAGAAAAATTAATTACATAAATTAGAGAGAAGTAAAGAGAGAATAATACACAGTTAGACGACCTCCCCCTCGTCAGTATCAATCACAGATGCTTCCGGAAACTAAGTTAGCAATGCTTATGTATCTATCATTCAGTTTCCTTTATGAGGTTTGATTTACTTTATTTTATTTTATCTTTCTACGTTTTTTTATTTTTTATTTTAATCTGTTATGTTTATGAACGTGAATGTTAGTTAATTTATTTTCTGCTTTAAGTGTTTATATAGTATTATATTATATGTATGTATTATAATAAAATGTTAAAAAATACATAAAACTACATTAATAATAATAATAATAATAATAAATAAATAAATAAAATAATGACAGGAACCCGCAGTGAGCGCTCCAGGCCACACGGGGGCGCAGTCCCGAACACTGGGAGAAGAGGCCAAATGTCGTACACTAAACTGGTAACACTTTCTGTCTTTTCGGACCATTTTCTCATCATTTAATATCAAGAAACAGCGCACAAATGTTCTTTTTAAAAGCGGGTGTTTATACAGAACCACGCAGTCTGCGCTCTTTTCACCACAGTTTTATTGAAAGTTGATAAATCCACTGGAGCTAACGTTAGCCTGGTGTTAGCTGCGGCTTTAGCTCCGCTGGACTCCACAGTTTTAATAAAACTGTCACATTTTACGCATTTTTACACTTTAACCCGTGATTATATATGACAAATGACGAGAATAAGAACATTCTGAAAATGTATTTAATTACAGATCACTGAATATCTGCAGTTAAATCTTATTCCGAAAACATGGACAATTTTTACACTTATATTTATATTATAAGTTAAAGACGCAAAAACTGTCTTTGTGCAGCAGTGTTTTCTATTTTTATCTGTAATATCGGGTGACCAGATTTTACTATTTACCCGGGACAGTCCCAGTTTTGAGCCTGTGTTCCCTGTCCCAACAAATTTATAGAAAACAATGGATTTGTCACAGTTTTATGCAAGAAATGTCTCTATTTTTGAATAATTTGATCCTGGAAACACTAAAGAGAGACATAAACTGTCATTTGTGTAGGTAAAATAAAGATAAGTTGTTTAAAAATGACCAAAACACAAAGAAAATGTGACTATACTGACTCATGTTATTCAAGTGCTGAACAGTTTTCCTTTATTACGCACTCATTTTTACAATTTATTATTACCAACCAACACAAACCAGTGATTTGTCCCAATTTTATACAAGAAATGTCTTTATTTTTGAACAATCTGACCCTGCCAACAGTAAACAGAGACATACATTGTCATTTGTTTACGTAAAATACAGTAAAGCTGCTTAAAAATGACCAAGTTTCCGTGACTTAAACTATGGACTAAACCAGGTCTAAACGGGTCTCAGTCTTCGTCTGGTCCCGGTCTCAGTCCTGGTCTCAGTCCTAAACCAGGACTAAACCAGGAGGGCCCAAAGGTGCGTCTGTGAAGACTGTCGAGTGATCAGGAAACCGGGACCAGACCGGGACTGAGACGAGGACTGAGACCGGTTTAAACCTGGTTTAGTCCTATTTTAGTCCTGGTTTAGTTTTAGTTTTATTTTAGTCCTGGTTCAGTCCGGCATCGATTAAAGTCACAGAAACAGGAAACGGCCGTTATCCATTTTTTATTTTTATTATTCACTGAAACACAAAATAGAAAACTGAAAAAAAAAAAAAAAATCATTATAATTTTTTCCATTTTGGTTTTTGACACAGATAATGAAGAAAATAGTTGTTATTTTCATTTTCTTATTTGTGGTTTTATTTTGAAAGATGAACGATTCACACAGATTCATATTCTCTGTAAACCTGTGTTGTTGTGATGCTGTTTAAATCCAGGCTCAAAACATTTCTGTTAACTGTGCATATAACTGAAAGGTTTTCATTCCGCACTCTTCTCTCCAATTTATGTCTCTCTTTTTTCATTTTAATCTTCATGATTATTTATGTTTTGATTTGTTTTTATTATGATTTTAATGTATTTCTTATTCTGTAAAGCACTTTGAATTACTTTGTGTACGAATTGTGCTATACAAATAAACTTGCCTTGCCTTGCCTTGTTTTCTGATTGTGGCTGTGGTTCCTCCGGTGTCCTGCAGGTGGTGCTGTCGGCCGGAGCTTCGGGACTCCTGGGGCTCCTGGGTGTGAGGAGGAGCGGCGGCCCGGTGCTGGCGGCCTCCGACGGGAAGAAGAAACTCTCTCCCCCGGGCATGAGTCTGGAGGAGGCAAGTCTCCACACTGTCCCAGTAAACACAAGAGCAGAACTTTCTCTTACTCTTTTTTTAAAAAACATTAAATAGTAGAACTTTCTTTTCTATTCCTGTGTGTGTGTGTGTGTGTCCGTGTGTGTCCGTGTGTGTGTCCATGTGTGTGTTCGTGTGTGTGTCCGTGTGTGTGAGAGAGATCCATCATTCGTTCATTAGTTTTTCAAAATAAAACCAAAATTAAGAAAATGAAAAAACAAATATTTTCCTTATTAATTGTCTCCAAAACCAAAATGAAAAAACAGATAATGATTCGTTTTTTCGATTTTGTGTTTAAATGAAAAATGGAAAAAATGGATAACGGCCCTTTCCCGTTTACGGGACCAGACCGGGGCTGGGACTGGGACCAGACGGAGACCAGACCGAGAGACTGAGACTGAGACCGGGACCGGGACCAGACCAGGACCGAGACCGAGACTGAGACCGAGACTGAGACTGAGACTGAGACTGAGACTGAGACCAGGCCGGGACCAGACGGAGACCAGACCGAGAGACTGAGACTGAGACTGAGACCGGGACCGGGACCGAGACTGGGACCGAAGACCGGGACCGGGACCGAGACCAGGCTGAGACTGAGACCAGGCCGGGACCAGACCGTGACCAGACCGAGACTGAGACCGGGACAGAGCCCGGGACTGAGACTGAGACCAGACCGGGACCAGACCAGAGGCTCAGAGCCCACATCAGGTTCGGCGCTCGAAGCGGAGGCTCAGACCCCGCGGAGGCTCAGAGTCAAAGCTCGGAGTTCGCTCTGGTCCCAGTGTGGTTCCGGTCTGGTCCCGGACCTGGATCAGTCCGTATGCGGTGCAAAAATCCGGCATCGCAGTCACGGGAGTCACATAAACGAGAAATGGTCATTATCCTTTTTGTCTGGTTTAGTCCTGGTTTAGTCCTGGTTTAATCCTGGTTTAATCCTGGTTTAGTTCTGGTGGCACCTCCGTGATGAGTTTAAAGACGGACTGTGTGTGTGACACTCTTTTTGAATGATTGTGTAGTTATTATACTCTTGTGTAGTTGTTGTACTGTTGTGTAGTTGTTGTACTCTTGTGTAGTTGTTGTACTCTTGTGTAGTTGTTGTACTCTTGTGTAGTTGTTGTACTCTTGTGTAGTTGTTGTACTCTTGTGTAGTTGTTGTACTCTTGTGTAGTTGTACTGTTGTGTTGTGCTTTGTGTAGTTGTACTGTTGTGTAGTTGTTGTACTCTTGTGTAGTTGTTGTAGTTGTTGTACTCTTGTGTAGTTGTTGTACTCTTGTGTAGTTGTTGTACTGTTGTGTAGTTGTTGTACTCTTGTGTAGTTGTTGTACTCTTGTGTAGTTGTTGTACTCTTGTGTAGTTGTTGTACTCTTGTGTAGTTGTTGTACTCTTGTGTAGTTGTTGTACTCTTGTGTAGTTGTTGTGCTCTTGTGTAGTTGTTGTACTGTTGTGTAGTTGTTGTACTCTTGTGTAGTTGTTGTACTGTTGTGTAGTTGTTGTACTCTTGTGTAGTTGTTGTACTCTTGTGTAGTTGTTGTACTCTTGTGTAGTTGTTGTACTCTTGTGTAGTTGTTGTACTCTTGTGTAGTTGTTGTACTGTTAGTTTTGTGTTTTTGCAGTTGCCGTCTCTGTACTGTCGTCCTGAGGAGCTCCACAGCTCAGAGCCTGAGTCCGGCGCCGTCGAGGAGAAAGTGTCTCTGCTCAGGAACTGGATGCAGCCGTACACCGACCAGTGCCAAGTGAGAAAACAAACTCTGACTTTTATCACGGTTTTATTTCAATCAGACCTTCCTTCTCCAGTTCAATGTTCTTCTTCTCTAGTCCTAGTTTAGTCCTCGTTTAGTCCTTGTTTTAGTTCTGGTTTAGATCTGGTTTTAGACCTGGTTTTAGTCCTCATTTTAGATCTGGTTTAGTTCTGGTGTAGTCCTGGGGTAGTCCTTGTTTAGACCTGGTTCTAGTCCTGGTTTTAGTCTTCGTTTAGTCCTGGTTTTAGTCCTCATTTAGTTCTCGTTTTAGATCTGGTTTAGTCCTTGTTTAGTCCTGCTTTTAGTTCTGGTGTAGTCCTGATGTAGTCCTTGTTTAGTCCTGGTTTAGACCTGGTTCTAGTCCTGGTTTAGTCCTGCTTTAGACCTGCTTTAGACCTGGTTTTAGTTCTGGTTTAGACCTGGTTCTTGTCCTGGTTTAGTCCCAGTTTAGACCTCTTTTAGACCTGGTTCTAATCCTGGTTTAATCCTGGTTTAGTCCTGGTTTAGTCCTGGTTTTAGTCCTGATTTTAGTCCTGGTTTAGTCCTGGTTTTAGTTCTGGTTTGGTCCTGGTTTAGACCTTGTTTTAGACCTGGTTTCGTCCTTGTTTAGTTCTGGTTTTAGTCCTAGTTTAGTCCTGGTTTTAGTCCTGGTTTAGTCCTGCTTTAGACCTGCTTTAGACCTGGTTTTAGTTCTGGTTTAGACCTGGTGTTTGTCCTGGTTTAGTCCCAGTTTAGAACTATTTTAGACCTGCTTCTAGTCCTGGTTTAGTCTTGGTTTAGTCCTTGTTTTAGTCCTGATTTTAGTCCTTGTTTTAGTCCCGATTTTAGTCCTGGTTTAGTCCTCGTTTTAGATCTGGTTTAGTCCTTGTTTAGTCCTGGTGTAGTCCTGGTTTAGACCTGGTTTAGACCTGGTTTTAGTTCTGGTTTAGACCTGGTTCTTGTCCTGGTTTAATCCCAGTTTAGACCTCTTTTACACCTGGTTCTAGTCCTGGTTTAATCCTGGTTTAGTCCTGGTTTAAGTCCTGATTTTAGTCCTGGTTTAAGTCCTGATTTTAGTCCTGGTTTAATCCTGGTTTAGTCCTGGTTTAAGTCCTGATTTTAGTCCTGGTTTAAGTCCTGATTTTAGTCCTGGTTTAATCCTGGTTTAGTCCTGGTTTAAGTCCTGGTTTTAGTCCTGGTTTAAGTCCTGATTTTAGTCCTGGTTTAAGTCCTGATTTTTAGTCCTTTTTCCTGGTTTAAGTCCTGATTTTAGTCCTGGTTTTAGTCCTGGTTTAAGTCCTGATTTTAGTCCTGGTTTAATCCTGGTTTAGTCCTGGTTTAAGTCCTGATTTTAGTCCTGGTTTAAGTCCTGATTTTAGTCCTGGTTTAAGTCCTGATTTTAGTCCTGGTTTAAGTCCTGATTTTAGTCCTGGTTTAAGTCCTGATTTTAGTCCTGGTTTAATCCTGGTTTAGTCCTGATTTTAGTCCTGGTTTAGTCCTGGTTTTAGTTCTGGTTTGGTCCTGGTTTAGACCTGGTTTTAGACCTGGTTTTGTCCTAGTTTAGTCCTGGTTTTAGTCCTGGTTTAGTCCTGGTTTAGTTCTGTTGTTTCTGCTGTTATTTTATCCAAATACACAGTTTTTACACTTGATTTTTATTCGTCTTCCTTCTTTTTATTAGTCTTTTTATTTATTTGTCGTTTTTGTCTTTCAGAAAACAGGTGAGGCGGCGTTGGACAAAGTGGAGGTGAGTGAACTCTGTCCGTGTTTGTCTGACGTTTAATCAGGGCCGTAAAAGTTTGTTCCAAGTGTTTTATTTTTGCAGAGCGTCTATAAACGAGTGGAGCCAAAGATCAACGCTTCAGTCACGACCGTCACAGGTAAAAACACACACCTGCACAAGCCACGCCCACCTGCACAAGCCACGCCCACCTGTACAAGCCACACCCACCTGTACAAGCCACACCCACCTGTACATGTCACACACACCTGTACAAACCACAAACACCTTACCACACACCTGTACACACGTACAAGTCACACCCACCTGTACAACACACCTGTACACACACACACCTGTACATGTCACACCCACCTGTACGAGCCACAAACACCTTACATGTCACACACACCTGTACATGTCACACCCACCTGTACAGCCACAAACACCTTTACATGTCACACACACCTGTACGAGCCACAAACACCTTTACATGTCACACACACCTGTACACACACACCTGTACACACACCTGTACATGTCACACCACCTGTACGAGCACAAACACCTTTACATGTCACACCACTGTACACACACCTACATGTCACACACACCTGTACATGTCACACCCACCTGTACACACACCTTTACATGTCACACACACTGTACATGCACACCCACCTGTACGAGCCACAAACACCTTTACATGTCACACACACCTGTACATGTCACACCCACCTGTACGAGCCACAAACACTTTACATGTCACACACACCTGTACATGTCACACCCACCTGTACGAGCCACAAACACCTTTACATGTCACACACACCTGTACATGTCACACCCACCTGTACGAGCCACAAACACCTTTACATGTCACACACACCTGTACATGTACACCACACACCTTTACATGTCACACACACTGTACATGTCACACCCACCTGTACGAGCCACAAACACCTTTACATGTCACACACACCTGTACATGTCAGACCCACCTGTACGAGCCACAAAACACCTTTACATGTCACACACACCTGTACATGTCACACCCACCTGTACGAGCCACAAACACACATTTACATGTCACACACACCTGTACATGTCACACCCACCTGTACGAGCCACAACACCTTTACATGTCACACACACCTGTACATGTCACACCCACCTGTACACACACACACACCTTTACATGTCACACACACCTGTACATGTCACGCTCACCTGTACATGCCACACCCACCTGTACGAGCCACACACACCTGTACGAGCCACACACACTTGTACATGTCACACACACCTGTACGAGCCACAAACACCTTTACATGTCACACACACCTGTACGAGCCACACACTGTACATGCCACACCCACCTGTACATGTCACACACACCTGTACGAGCCACAAACACCTTTACATGTCACACACACCTGTACATGTCACACCCACCTGTACGAGCCACAAACACCTTTACATGTCACACACACCTGTACATGTCACACACACCTGTACGAGCCACAAACACCTTTACATGTCACACACACCTGTACGAGCCACACACACCTGTACATGTCACGCTCACCTGTACGAGCCACAAACACCTGTACATGCCACACCCACCTGTACGAGCCACACACACCTGTACATGTCACACCCACCTGTACGAGCCACAAACACCTGTACATGCCACACCCACCTGTACGAGCCACACACACCTGTACGAGTCACACCCACCTGTACATGTCACACACACCTGTACGACCCACACACACCTGTACAAGTCACACACACCTGTACATGCCACGCTCACCTGTACATGCCACGCTCACCTGTACATGCCACGCCCACCTGTATGAGCCTTTCTCTACAAGCTTTTCTCTGTCTGGAATGTTCCGCAGTGCTGCTTTAAACTTCCCTATCTTGAAAACACTCTGGACAAACCTGTGAGTGGACTCGCCTCTCCACAGACCTGACCTGTAACTTGTCTTTGTGGTGCCACTTTCGTGATGAGTTTAAAGACATACTGTGGAACATTACACTGCACTGAACCAGGACTGGACCAGGACTGGACCAGGACTGGACCAGGACAAGACTAGGATGAGTTCAGGACTGAATCTGTACTAAACCAGGACTGAACTGGGGTTATGCAGGACTAAACCAGGACGAAACAGGACTGATCCAGGACAATAACACTATAATTAACCTAGAACTGAACCAGGACTAGACCAGGACAAGACTAGGACGAGTTCAGGGCTAATCCAGGACTGAACCTGGACTGAACCAGGACAGTAACACTATAACTAACTTAAAACTGAACCAGGACTAGACCAGGAATAAACTCGGACAAGATCAAGGTTAATCCAGAACTGAACAAGGACCAGACCAGGATCTAAGCAGATCTAAACCAGGACTGCCCTCGGCCCTAAATCTTTGTTGTTGTGTTCCAGACGTGTACAGGTTCCTGAGTGATCCGCCCTCCAACTTCTACCCCAGTGTGGCAGTGATCGGCTTCTCTGGGTTTTTAGGACTTTATCTCGCCAAAGGTAAAAACCAGAGCGAAAAACTGGTTCAGCCGAGAAAAAAACACGAGACAAGAGACTGAAAACTGAACTTAAAACTCATCCAAGAATCTCAAGTTTTCAACTTTGTATAAACTTTAAATTAAACTTCATATAAACTTGAGTATGTTAAATTTAAAAAAAAAAGATCTGAATAAATGCACTGATAAAAAATAAATAAATAAAAATGTCTGCCATTCATAACTCTAAATGTAATAACTCTAAACGTGTTAACTCTAAACGTGTTAACTCTAAACGTGTTAACGTGTTAACTCTAAACGTGTTAAAAACGTGTTAGCTCTAAACGTATTAACTCTAAACGTGTTAACTCTAAACGTGTTAACTCTAAACGTATTAACTCTAAACGTGTTAACTCCAAACGTGTTAACTCTAAGCGTATTAACTCT